AAGCATAAAATAAGGTCTTTATAATAATAATATTTTTTACCGTATGTAAAAATAAAAGACCAAACAGTATTTCTTTAGCAATATATAATTTTATTTGTTTACTATAATTTTATAAAATTTGGTTTTAGGTATTCTCGTAAATTTGTATTGTAAAACTATATTATAATATTCGTCTATTTATATTTATAATAAATTCTTCATAAAAATTATTGTTTTAAATATACAGTCAAGGAGGAGGTTTTAACCGGTGGGAACATGAACCAGATTCATAAACGAAAAGTCACCTTATGGTTGTTAAACGTTAATATAGTTTATAAGATCTGGCATTGGTATACATAAATCAAATGGGGAGAAAAACGACTATCAGATTCTTTATAATACTCTATACATTTAAGAATAGAATAAGTAAAGAATTGAAATCAATAAAAGAGTTAATAAACAAAAAAAAGAAAAAGACAAATTACTTTAATATCTAGAATTTTCTTAAATATATGTGTTACTCTTCTAACCATTACACAATTGAAAAAATTTTTATATCGATATGGCTTAAATTTAAATAGCGAATACTGTACTGACTAAGTGTACAAAGTTAAAATATGTTGCATTATTATAAATATTATTGACATAGAATTCACTGATCAAGAAATCTGTTTAAAGAGTTACAAAATTATTTATACAGAGTAAACTAAATGTTTCTGTAATGATTTTACTTTGGGACAACGATATTTTATTTTACCTATCTGAACACTTCTTAGAAGAAAAAAAAATTCATTCATTACTTTGTAATTCGCTATATCGAAGATAATATAATTAAACTTATTTTAAGGTGATAATAGTATTGCAATATTTGGAAATTTATGCATGCTATACGTAGTAATAACATTTTATTGAAATAAGGACGAATTATAGTAATACATTAAACTTAGTATTCTTAACTTCATTATTTGTGGTGCTAATTAGATTACATAGAATGCGTAAATTCTACTACAGTAATAATAAAGTAAATTCTCTTTTCGAAATTTAATCTAAAAATTAAAATTAATTTATTAGAGAAGGAAGGGGACCGTGAACAAAAGCTGCTGCACAGCCTTTAAGACCTGGTGGGCCTAAAATACCAACTGAAATAGTGTATCTTGAAGGTAATAGGGATGGCACCGGAACATTCTCTGTTACATTAACTGTGGTTCCAGTTGGAATTTGCGCAATAAAGTAATTGCCTATACGAATAGGAGGATCAGGAAGACTTTTTTCAAATATAATAACAAGCGTGTCACTTGAGGTAATGGGTTTCGTTAGTTTTCCATTAACAGTAAAAGTGTCGTTTTTTCCAGGGACGACAGGATCAGGTGAAATTGTTACAGTGAGTAGGTCTGAAGTAGGAACTCCAGGTAATAAAGTGCAGTCTCCAAAAGCAGTAGTTCTTTTATGAAGTTGATGTGGAATAGCATTAACTATGGAAAGCATGACAAATAAAACGAATACAAAAATAAAATTTCGGTTCATCATTTTTTGTGAATATGATATTTGGTCAGAGCAGAATATTTG